TTTTATTATTGATAAAAGAATTTGTTGTAAATTATGTTCCATTGGTTTTTTTGTGTTTTCTACCCACCTTTACCTCCGTGACGGTGCGATAGTGTGATGTTTTTACTGAGCTGGTGTAGCTCATTCCTTATTTAATCATTTCAGATCAGGAAGACATTGTTCCCGAGCCCGTTCCGCAGGAAGACGGCGAAGGGGACGCCTGAAGACTCTGTAGTTATATTTATAGCTTTTATTTTCGAGTTTCTCTTTTAGTTAGTTTGTTCTTTTATACTTTGAGCACATTTTTGGTTTTAGTGTAAGGGATGTTTAATCAAAATTTTTATTTCACTTCCGCATTTGACCTTTTTAATACACATATTTCATTTTAAATTTTCGGGGCCGTTACATTTAAAATTATATTCAAATTAAATGTTTATGAGAGGGATTGTTGAATGTTTTTCATGTTGGTAAATTTTCTAACTACCTTAAAGAGAGTAGAAATTGGCGAAATTATTATAGGTGATCATAGTTTTGTTTGTTACATTTTTTTTGGACTTAATAATAAGAGTAGTGGGGCATATAGTGGTAGAAATAGTGATCCATGTCTTGCTTTATTTATTGTTTATGCTTGTAAAAATGCCTATGTAAAGGTTGATTATTCAATGAAAAATAACAGTAGTTTATTGTATTTTTTACGTTTAATATTTTATCTTTTGAAGGGAAAAAATATTTTTCTAATTTAAAAAAGTTTTTAGAGAAGGAGTAAGTTTAGATAGCTTGAGTTCTTCATCATCAATGAACCCACGAAGATTTTGATAATTGAATACAGAAAAAATTAATTTTTTCAAAGCAAGTAGTATGTTAAAGTAAGTTTCATTAAGTATGGTACATAATTTGTGAATGAATGAAAGGGTATTGAAGAACTGGCAACCGAATTGGTAGTGGGGTGATTTTAGCCTACCATTGATAAGTTGAGTGGGGAATATTTTTCTAATTCCATGTGGAGCAAAATAATCTGAAAATTTTTAGGATAAATTTTATTGCTTCAAGGCTTCAAATTTGAAAAATAAATAAAAAAGTTAAATTACATATTTATTATAAACAAAAGAAAGCTTTTTAATGTTTTTTTTTCTTTTGGTTAATGTCATGTTTTTGTTTTTTTAACATATGTTTGTTTAAGGGGAAGTTAAAATGTATTCATTACTGGCACGTAATTCTATATTTTTAATGGTCCGAATATTAAATTAGTCCATGTATTATATTTAAATATTCGAATAAGTCATTGTACTACTTTTTTTTTTTTTAGAGACTATATTTTTTTAAAAAATATATTTTAATTTTGACCATTAATATACGTTAGTAGAATTGTTATATTATAATAAGTTAATTTCTAATTGAATGAATATATACATCAGATTCTATGTAATATTTTATATAAAAAATAAATAAAATTAAGATTGAAAACATAATTTTTTTTTGAAAAAATAGCTTGTCTTCTTTCCTCCACCACTGACGCGCTGAAGGAAGAGAAGTTGGTCAAATGCAAGGAGGAAGAAGGCGAGGAAAATGGAGATGGAGCCATCAGTTTCATTAATGGATTACCCCTTACTGGTGAGGTAGAGGCTTCTTGAAGAATTTACTTCCTAGCAATAAAACCACCTGTACTTGATGCTCAACAGTAACATCTCCATCTTGGTTGAAGTTGCAACGAAGGCAAAAAAAAATATGAACATGTATTAAATCCCAAATCAATAAGTATAAGAGCAGAAGAGAAAGAGTGAAAATCTATTAATTCCAATTTCCATTCTCTATCAAATTGGGCTTTTCTGGGTATTGACATGCTAATCATCCCATCGGCAAGCTTCCATATGGAAGTTTTAGATGGCTGGCTTTTTTTTTCATCGTCTTCATGGTTTAACATATCTCGTTGAAATATGTCTAACTTATTGTTACGTTACAAATTCACCAATTTCGGTATTTGATTCATTTTTAACTAAAAATAATGGTGTTAATTCAATAACATATTCAAACCTTAAGGTAAAAAAGTTTCAAAAAAATCAAATCAAAACATATGAATTAAAATTAAGTCAAGCTATAAAGAATCAAATTGTAAATTTTTTTTTTCTCTCTAAATTTAAGTAAAATGGAGGTATACAAATTCTAAAATTTTTAAAAAATCTTTCCCAAAAAATTAATTGATTTCTTGCTAACATACACTAGCAGTTTATCATAATAAGAAAGTCAAAGATGAGCAATTGAAGAGAAAATATAAAAAAGGGTATAAGTTAATACTCCAAGTCTCTAGAAAAAGAACATTAGAAATTTATGGGGGGCTGGATTTCGTGTAGAATTGATTTCTTGTGTTTAGTGGGGTGGCCCGAAGTCCCGAGTATCAAGCTCCTACTCCACGCTCACAAGTTATAATTTTATATATTTAGTATATGATGAATTAATTTTATTATATATATTAAATTTTTAATTAAAAATATAATTACTCACAACTAAAATATTTAAATTTGGGTTCTATTTATATTTCAATAATATTTTTTCCTGTAAAATTTAGGTTTAAATCAAACTTTAAGTTGTAATTACCATCATCATCATTATTATTAATTGGTTGGTATTTGGTTGAATGCTCTAGAATTTAAGACACCCAACTGTCAAGTTATGCCCAAACCTTGGCGCGACATTTTCAACTGTCCGTGTCTTGTAGATATGTATATGTGTGTATATATTATATAACATGTGGGGATGGAAGAGAAGTCAAAGACAAAGGTTTTCATGGTTTATTCAGAAAGATTAGCTGTTAGGCTGTTACCAGCTTTCTGGCAGGCGGAAACAGGAGATTAGGCCATCACCTCAGCTCAACTGGTTGGTTTTACAAAAATGCCACTGCGACAGACATAAAAATTTGTAACACCACTCACTAATAATAATAAACTTTTATATTTTATACTTAATATAATCAAATATCAATTGATTTTTTTTTTTTTTTTTTTTTTTCTGAAAACGTGCATCTAAAACTACCGTTCTATCATATATTATATTATGTATCATTATCTGTTAATCTTTAATAATTAAATCAGTTTTCAATAAATTAAATTACTATATTAATTACAAACATTTTAAAACTTATTGATTTGTATGTTAAACTTATTTAGTGCATTTTTCAGGTAAACATCACTATTATTATTTTTATGTAATTGATTGTATATTTATTAGAATTGAATACCCAATATAAATATAATTTATTTTTTATTTTTGGAAACCAACAAATAAATTGGTGGCTTACATATAATATATATGCACAATTAAACGACGCGTAATGTAATGCTCACTCCGACATTAACCAAGTGACACGTGCACAAAACCCCATTCTCCGACCTCCATGCAGTGGTCGGCTAAAATCAACTAAAGCGAAAGACACGTGTCGGCGCCCAACTACAAACACATTCAATTGAGTGTTTTATTTTTTTAAAAAAAATTAATTAAGAAAGAAAAAGATTAAAAATTTCCTTCCAATTGATATTGTTTGTTTTAAAGTGTACTTTAATTTATTAATATATAATTTTTAATCCATAACAAGAATGTTACATTATACTGTTAACCAAAAATCATATAGTTCATGTGTTTTAATGTTTCCAAGATTACTTGAAATTAATTACATATGACATCACACGTAATTAGTACAATTCAAGTATTATATTAAAATCATTCCATCAAACCTTGGTAGATTTTAGTATTTTCATTAAAATTCTATAGTTTGATATATAATAAATTGTTTTCATCGTTTTTTTTACAAAAAAACGGAATGATACGATAATTAATATTTTATTTTTAATTAATTTTAAAAAAATTAAATCCTTCTAAATAATTAGGATATTTTTAGAAATAAATAAAGTTTTACAAAATCATGCATTACTTTGCAAATAATATTTTCATTCTCGATTCCTTTTGTCAAAATCCATTTTTAGCATATATTACATCGTACTTAATTTCAATTGACATTAAATTTATAAGTTTTAATATTTAAATCAAATGAAAATGCTATGCAAAAAAATCCAATTAATATTAATATTTTAAACTAACAACTGAACGTAAATTTAATTGGATAATGTTAGGACTGAAATACTGAATTTAAGTTTAATTAGTTATTTATTTATGAGGCCACCAAAGTAAAAGATGACTAATTATTATCATAAGTCGAAATACCAAAATTTCATTTATTTTCTTGTTTCCTAAAATATATTTTATAATTAAATTTAGCCTAAATTATTCCGTTCTACCAATTAAAATATTTACATTAATCGTTTAGGCATAAATTAAGTCCTATTTACACACTTTAAATAACTCTAATCATTTAGTTCATTTAAAAATATTTAATATGTAATTATTTTATTTCTAAAATATAATGTAATTGATTAACCACATCAATAGTTATAAATTTTGATTTTATTTTGACAAAAATCATGATTAAACTCTTTAATCAAATAGAAAATCTTAAATTTAATCAATCTCATATTTCAAATTCTAAGATTCCTATATATAATATTCCTCACATCAATCAGAATCTAGAAAAAAAATCTATTACGTAGATTTATGTGATCTATTAAGTCCAATTATCTAATTAATATTTGATTAAAAATTTAATTACATTGATCAACAATATAATTAAGTAAACTTAATTTTTATTTTCCTGTGAGGCTTTTCCTTTTGTATAAACATGATTTTGTATATATTGAATTTATTTTCTTTTTATGTAGAAAAAAACTGAATAAATAAGAACAACAACAGCAATAATAATAATAATATTATTATTGAAAATAGCTTAGGATAGTAAGGGCAAAAGCGTAAAATTATGAAAATCCCGCTAATTTCTCGGTTGGCAAATTGAATGCCACGGCGGGTTAACAATTAAAAGTTCGTTGGGGTAGTTGCATCCTCCCTCTTCCTCTCCCTCCCTCTCTCCCTCCCTCTCTCCCTCCCTCTCTCTTCACACCCCTTTAAATCCTCACTAAATTCTCCGTCTTTTCCAATTCACACCCACCTTGCCTATTTTTCTTTTTCTTCTTCTTCTCTAAAATTCTTGCTTACACACAACCTTCTCATATTCCAAATTTATACTATTACATCCATTTTAAGATTTTACGATCTTGGTTTGATTTTAGTTTATACCCAAAAAGAAAAGAAAATGTCGATTCAAATCTCCAACCAGGAAGTCTCTGAAAATGGAGGAGGACGAAAGAAGAATCACCTTCCAAATTTTCTCCTCTCAGTTAGGCTCAAGTACGTTAAGCTTGGTTATCACTACTTGATTTCCAATGCTCTCTACTTACTACTTGTTCCTCTCCTGGTCATTGCCTCTGCTCATCTCTCCACACTCAACTTTCAAGATCTTCTCCAGCTATGGAACCACCTTAAGTTCAATCTCGTCGCATTCACTCTAGGTTCGAGCCTCATGGTTTTCTTGGCCACTCTTTACTTCATGAGCCGACCAAGAAAAGTGTACTTAGTCAACTTCGCTTGTTACAAGCCAGACCCAGCTCGGTTCTGCACCAGAGAGATTTTCGTGGAGAGGTCTCAGCTGACTGGAAGTTTTACTGAGGAGAACATGGCGTTTCAAAAGAAGATTCTTGAGAGGTCTGGGTTGGGTCAGAAAACTTACTTGCCGGAAGCCGTGTTGCGGGTGCCGCCAAATCCGTGCATGGCGGAGGCGAGGAAGGAGGCCGAGATTGTTATGTTTGGTGCCATTGATGAGCTGTTGGAGAAAACTGGAGTGAAGCCTAAGGACATAGGAATTCTTATTGTCAACTGTAGCTTGTTCAATCCGACGCCGTCTTTGTCTGCCATGATTGTAAACCGTTACAAGCTTAGAGGGAACATATTAAGTTATAATCTTGGAGGAATGGGTTGCAGCGCAGGGCTTATCTCTATCGATCTTGCCAAGCAAATGTTACAGGTCTGTACTTTTTTTTGGGGTCATATTATGTTTTTACTTTTCCGAGACATTAATCTGAAATAGTTGGGGATTTTGATTGGAAATATATCTATCAACTACTCTCAATTAAATCTGGGACTCGAAAATCTTTCTGATCCCTTACTTCCAGTCCCTGAGATGGACTGCTATTGGTGGTTAGTAGTTAGTGAATACACAGATATAAATCAGAGATATACATATACATGCGTGTACCATAAATTTAAATACATTTGCCATCGATTCGCGCATTATCACTTTGACCACATGCCCACGGCATGGTTTTAGGTGAACCATATTAAAGCATGTATGTACATATATATATTGCTGCTATAAATTGAGCTTGTATACTCTTTCAAGAAATGCATAGTCAAGTACGAGGGGAGTTACATACGCCGTAGCTACTCTCTCTCTATGTATATACACACATAATATTTTTAACTTGAAAAATAAGGGTAAAGATTTTTACGTGTGACCAATCATATAAACAAATTAAGCAAATGATTATATTAATAATTTTTTATTTGTAACATGAGTTAAAGTTTTATCAAATGAACAAGATATTACAAGTCAATCAAGAATAATCTTCATCATCTAACTTCTAATATTTTGGCCCTAGAATTTATCCATGTAGATAGCTTTTACATCTTTTTTTTTTTTATTTTTTTCTTGATATTTATTAAATAATATATTTTTGGAAATTTTATTGTACGTAACAGGTGCACCCCAACTCGTATGCCCTAGTAGTGAGCATGGAGAACATCACTCTCAACTGGTACTTCGGCAACGATCGATCAATGCTGGTCTCCAATTGCCTCTTCCGCATGGGCGGCGCTGCCATCCTCCTCTCCAACCGGGCGTCAGATCGCCGGCGGTCAAAATATCAACTCATTCACACCGTGCGAACCCATAAAGGAGCTGACGACAAGTCCTTCGGTTGTGTGTTCCAGAGAGAAGATGATTGCCGAAATATCGGCGTCTCACTCTCGAAAGATCTGATGGCAGTGGCCGGAGAAGCCCTGAAGACAAACATTACCACGCTGGGGCCATTAGTCCTTCCTATGTCTGAACAGCTTCTGTTTTTAGCCACTCTTGTTGCGAGAAAGGTTCTCAAGATGAAAATCAAGCCGTATATACCAGACTTCAAGTTAGCCTTTGAGCATTTCTGTATCCATGCAGGAGGGAGGGCAGTGTTGGATGAGATGGAGAAGAATCTTGAGCTTAGTGATTGGCATATGGAGCCTTCAAGAATGACTCTTTACAGGTTTGGAAACACATCTAGTAGTTCTCTCTGGTATGAACTAGCTTACACTGAAGCTAAAGGGAGGATCAGGAGGGGTGACCGGACATGGCAGATTGCTTTTGGTTCAGGGTTCAAGTGTAATAGTGCTGTTTGGAAAGCGTTGAGGACCATTAATCCAGCCAAGGAGAAGAATCCATGGATGGACGAGATTCACGAGTTCCCTGTTCATGTTCCTAGAATCGCACCTGTTAATTCTTCTTAATTAATTTAGTTTTACGGAAGGGTGTATGTTTGTAATACATGGTTGATAATCGAGGACCCCACAGCTTTATTTTCCAGGTTTAAAGAAATGATGATCAAGACCATTCTTTTTAATTGTTAATTTCCTCTCATCTCATTTGGTGAAATATTAATTTAATGCGAGTCTTTTGTGTGTATATATATATATATATATATATATATATATATATATAGAGAGAGAGAGAGAGAGAGAGAGAGAGAGAGAGAGAGAGAGAGAGAGAGAGAGAGAGAGATTGTCTTTTATTTCTTTATATACTCCATACTTAGCCCTTATCCACATATTAATCCAAGTAATTGGGTATGTGTTACAGTAACTCTAATGATATATTTGTCTCGATCGAGCAGAATATGTTGGTAATTAATTTGATAATCACATTAATATATACACTTATATATATTCTTTCTAAAATTGAAGTTCTTCACACATGAATCGGCCCTTCATATCATTCAGATATATCTCCATACCGAGAAAAGTGAAAGACAATTTATACAGTTATATATATACGTATATATAATTGTATGCATGTACCTATCTGGTGATCAATAAGTCAATCATTTGGCATTTCCTCACATATATCTTGCGAGGCAAGTTGGCGATTGGGTGCAAGAATTCGTGAGTTTGTTTGTCTAACATTAATTATATGGTCAATATGGGTATGCATATGAATATAAACATATACATATTCACACACACACACACACACACACACTTTTTGTATCTTTTCACGCATGTTTTAATAGATGATGGTGATGCATTTCTTTCCAACTAGCTATTTATAGTTTAAATTAAAGGGTAGGAGAGAAGAGTGTTCATTATTATGAGTCAGTGTAGAAAATGTTTAAATTAATTCATAAAGGCCTATATTGAGTGCAAAACTTTTGATTGTTAATTAAGATAGCATATAAGAAAATAACAAAATTAGGCAAGTGCTAATTATGGTCCAATTGCGTGACATGATGATGAAAGTTTATATTCTTCTTGCTATATAAATATATATATATATGTATGTATGTATTATAGCCATATTTTATTCACAACAGGTGCACCAACTATGCCCTAAACATGAAAGAAAGAAAATCTAGAAATTGCTGGACTACTGTATGATATTGTATATTATTTTATTTTAAACATTATTTTTGTTCTTTTTAAATGGACTTTGCTTGATAAAATTCATAGTCTTTTCAATTACCTATTTAAATTAAATCCTATCAACAACAAACGGAAAGTGGCTACTTTAATTTTAAAAAATAATAATTATGTGTACATATATAATATATATTTGTGTGTATATATAAAACCTATAGACCCAACAAAAAGTACCTTCCATCATTCGGCCCACGTGAATAAATGCTAATTAGATCCACCGCAGTTTTGTCCAACAAAGACCACCTCGGTCTGCTTGTTTTATTTGGATCACAATGAGTCCTGTTGGCCCAACTGCGAGATACAACACCAATCATAGGAATAAGACTGAATCTTCTGTCTTATCATTTTTATATTTTTTTGTTTAAGTTCGAATTGATATTTGCTATAGTTATCTTATAATACACATTATACTTGAAAGAAATTGAGAAAATTCTCAAGACTTATTTTTCTCCGTACTTATTTTTTTTTTTACATAATATTATAACGTAATATCTAAACTAATATACTCTTTTTATCATGAAGGTAGATGAACATATAACACTATAAACCTCCACATCTATAATTGCAAGCAAGTCAATCCTTTCGTGGAACTAGAAACTCATTAAGAGTGTGTTTGATAATAAGTAGAGGTGGAGGCCTTGGTGTTGCTTTAGTATAAGCAAGTATATTCTTTGTTTTTCTATTTATTTGTTTATCTCATTCATAAATAAATATTAAAATTTATATGTACTATACTATGTTTAAAAGTACAAATATATGTCAATTAATATTTTAATATTATTTAAATTATTTTTTATACTATTATTTTAATTATGTCATTTCTTACATATATCGTTATCTTTACTAATATTGTTGTTGCTACTACTATTACTATTATCAATATTGTTATTACTATTTTTGTCATTGATGTTATCCACAATGATATCACCATTATTGTCATTATTGCCTCTAGTGACACTTTAATAAAGCCTCACAATCAATACTATTGCTATTACTATCATCCCTATCACTTCCTCACTAGTTTGATTGCTACCTCTATGTATGTTATTCCAGAATCGTTGTTCTAACTACTATTAATGCTATTAATGTCATTAATACCATTATGTTTATTGATAGTATAGTTGTCATAACTGCTATTAACACTATCAGTACATGTTGCCGTTGTTGCCACCATCATTAATCATCGCCGCAATTAGTATTACTATCATTGTTAAATATCATTATCTCATTTCTTGCCACTAACACTATTATCAATATAAACTATGAGAAGGTTAATATGATCTTTGTGCTATCCTACTTAATTACTTCATTATCCAATCATTTAAAACATGAGAGAATAAGATTTTAACTGTGGAGCATATCTTATGTTACTCAACTATCTCATCCTACACAACCTCATTAGGTAGTTGAGTTGCTAAATATAATGTTAATGTTCACTGAAGAAAATGTTAAGATATATATTTTTTAAAATAATTGTATCATATAAAACTCAATCAAGACGAGTTTGTGACGACCTCAATATACAACTTTATTATTAACCAAGAAAAAAATCATTTATATTTTTAAAAAACATAAAGATACCCCCATCGTAGCCATATTGTTTGAGTAAGTTATCACATAATTGTGAAAGTCAAAATGTATATTTGTTCACCATAACATGAAATATAAACGTTTGGACTCTCCAAGGTAACTTACATATGTACAAGTGGGGTAAAAAGCAACATGGACTTTAGACAAGAAGATCCGAAACCCTATTAGTCCTATAAATTTTGGAGTAAAAGACAAAAAAAAACTAAAATAAAATATGACACTTGTTATAAACTAATGTGTTTACCATGTATGTACAAAGTATATTCAATAACTCTTAATGACTAGATACCAAATATTGTGTTTAGTGATATAACCTTCTTTATTTTTAAGGACACCAAAAAAGTAAACTAGTTAGTCATATTTAGAGCTAGCCCCACCATAATGTCCACGACTAGGAATCTGCAATGAAAATGTAGGTTGAGGATGAATAAGGAATAACTAATAGAGAAACAGGGGAAAAAAAGTAAAAACCTTAGTAACTAGGGTGTACCATGAATGTGTTTTTTTCTATAACCTTATTTGAAGTACAAGAAAAAGAGGGTCATCTTACCTTAAGTGAACTCTATTAGAGCCAATCCAGGTCTCGATGGACATATAACAAATAAAGAAAGAATATACTAGACACTTTTACAAAGAGTGTCATTTCCAAAGGTAGAGAAGAAAACTATATAAAGAGTCTAACTTGGAGTCCACAAAAAAGTTCAATTTATTATAATTATTGATAAGGGTTTAACTTTATACTAACTTTTTTATTAAACAATTCTTTTCTTTATCAAAGTTCAATTTATTATAATTATTGATAAGGGTTTAACTTTATACTAACTTTTTGAACTTTGATAAAGAAAAGAATTGTTTAATACACCTAGCCTGGTTGGTTAAAAAACAGAAGCTCATCTTACCTTTTTGTTGATAGTAATCCTAGTAATATAACTAAAGTCCAATGCTTGATAAACATTTCTCCTATCAAAAAGTTGAAACTATCTTTAGATGTGTGTTATGAGAATACAATAACCATATCAAATTTAGTAGCATCATAGAGCGAGTATGAAACACTCAAAGTACATCCATCATAGATAAAATCTCTTACCATACAAGGAAAAGATTAACACTAAACTTAGATCCTAGTTATATTACGCATACCCTCATATCAAGAAGAATCAAGTTAAAGTATGAAAAAAAAACAAACACTAAAAAAAGCTAGTTGAAATTGACTTTAAAAGCCTTATAAGCTTTTAGTTACAATACAGATACTATTATAAGTAGTACGCATCTCACTACCATTGACATAATGGTGGTAATCACTAAGATGGTTATACCCATAATTGTAAAACAATAAAAACATATTGTAAACAATGCTATTTTGATTAAATCTAACCCTTAAAAAATAGTGTTCGACACATAAAAGAAAAATTAAAAATATCAATAGAAAAATAAAAAAATATCTTCCTCAATAGAATCATGCTTATTTGATTATTAATACCTTTATAAATCTGAAGAAGATTCCCCTAACTAGACTTAGAGGCACTTAGGCCATGATTGATAATTAGTACATTTTATTGGGCAGATGAATTAAAGATCTAGTACGTAATAGATTTTCTTATTTATAGCCATGAAAAGGATTAGATGAAATTACTTTTTATAAAATTTTATACAGTGAGAAAGGAGAGAGTGAGAGAAATTGATGAATATTCATACTTAAATTTGCTAATGTTAGACTTACACGTGTTCATATGCACGCAGTGAACACCTCGTAAGCATATGCCTATCACCTTAAAAGTGTGTTTGTAATACCGGATGCGTTGCGTTCCCTTCACAAACGCGATCGAATGGTCAGATTTAAATGCGATCAATGATTCAGATCCACTTTCTATTTAAATGCGATCGGACAGCCTAAGTTAGATCGCGATGAACGGTCCAGATTCACTCCCTATTTAATTGTGATCAGATGGTCCAGATCAAATGCGATGGACAGTCCAGATTAAAAGGAGACGGATATAAATAGCCTTATTCACAACAAACCCTAACCCTAGCCGCCAGACACCCTCGTCGGAAAAGAAGACCCAGCCACTGGGAAGGAGAGCCGCCGCCACTCGCCGCCGCGCCGGAGCCACTTCTGACCGCCAAAAGAGGTAAAAATTTTTTCATTTGCTCGAAATTTAATTTTAAACACACTCATGGCCAAATTAGAGAAAAAAGA